TAATGTTCTGATATGTTATGGAGAATCTGATAGTATGGCAAGGCTGATATGGCTAGCATATTTTTCAAGAAAAAACTTAACAGTTATTATCACAGGTAAAGTGTGGATATTTACAGCACAAGTGGAGCTCAACTCACATGTATATCAGAGAGATTGGGATAATGACATGATGAATGGTGCTCTGTCTTTCACAATTCACACCAATGACCCACCAGGATTCCAGTCATTTACTAAAAGTAGAAATCCTTCCATGACGGAAGATGGATTTATCAAGGATTTTTGGCAGCAATCCTTTGTTTGTGCATTTAAAACTTCAAATGTGGGTGAGGTAGCTGGTGATGTTTGCACAGGAGAAGAGAAACTGGAAGATCTTCCTATAATGTTTTTTGAAAAAAGAATGACTGGTCACAGCTACAGTATTTATAATTCTGTCTATGCAGTAGCCCATGCATTACATTCCATGATTTCATCCAGATCTGCCCAGCGGTCAGTGGCAAATAAAGGAAGGTTGAAGCTTCAAAATCAAGATTCATGGCAGGTAATGGACTGAGCACTTTGTTGAAGAAAAATGTTATTTGTATAAAGGAAAATGAGCCCCATAAGATCAATTACAGGAATTCATTTTGATCCCCATTCCCATCTCTGGAAAGAACACAAGGTTCTCTACCTTGATTAGCCAATTCACATCCTGATTGATCAACTCCTCACATCCTGGACATAAACTGTTGGGATGCTTTCATGGCAAAACAACTAGACACATTTTTTTTCACCCATTTCTGTTTTAATTAGTCACATCACATCTTGATTGATTAACCCCTCAAATCCTGGACATAAACTGTTTCAACTCTTCCCCTCAGTATGTCTTTTCAGGGCAATGCATACCCAAACTATTAGATACAGAGACATTTTCCCCCCTCATGCCATCACACTGCTGAATATGTAATTCCCATTGTCATGTCTAAGTATATTTACCTACATGGTATGGCATCATCATCATTATTATTATTATTATTATTATTATTAATCATCGCACAGCCAGATGTTCAGACTGGATTTGGCATTTTGGTTACCTATCGAGTCCTTACCAAGGACCTGGGATAAGCAGATGTCAATTATTATTATTATTATTATTATTATTATTATTATTATTATTATTATTATTATTATTAGTAGTAGTAGTAGTAGTAGTAGTAGTAGTAGTAGTAGTAGTAGTAGTATTTTCAACGATATTCTTTTATTGGTATCATTATTATGATTATTATTACTCTGTACACTAAGACCTTCTTCACCAGAGATAAATTTCTTGTGTGTCTAATCATTCTTGGCCAAATATTATTCTATTCTATTCTATTCTATTCTATTCTATTCTATTCTATTCTATACTATTCTATTCTATTCTATTTTCTGTTCTGTTCTATGCATGACTTCCTCTGCATGACTTCCCACCCAAAATTAAATCCCACTTTCTAATCTTTCATTCTTTTCTTTTTCATCTAGCTGCACTCCTTTTTAAGAGGTCTCTCATTTAATAACAGTGCTGGGGATCTGGTTTCTATTGACTACAATGGAGAATTACTAGCTGGATATGATATACTGAACTGGATTGCTTCTTCTAACAAATCCTTCATTAGAGTTAAAGTTGGGAGGGTAAACCCTGCAGTTTTTTCAGACCAAACATTCACCATAAAGGAAGATGTCATAACCTGGCACAGTTGGTTTAACCAGGTAGGATCCTACTTTGGGTAATTTATACCAAATTTACTTTTTAGCTAGATATATAAAATGATTAATTCAAATGCTCAAATAAAAACATTTACTATAACGCAACCAATAGCTGTTGCTTCAGTTGGGCTTCTTATGAATTCATCATCATCATCATCATCATCATCATCATCATCATCATCATCATCATCATCATCATCAAGTTGGAAGGGACCTTGGAGGTCATCTAGTCCAACCCCTGCTCAGGCAGGAAACCCTATACCATTTCAGACAAATGGCTGTCCAGTTTCTTCTTAAAAATTTCCAGTGTTGGCGCATTCACCACTTCTGGAGACAAGTTGTTCCACTGGTTAATTGTTCTAACTGTCAGGAAGTTTCTCCTTAGTTCTAGGTTGCTTCTCTCTTTGGTTAGTTTCCACCCATTGCTTCTTGTCCTTCCTTCAGGCACTTTGGAAAATAGCTTGACTCCGTCTTCTTTGTGGCAGCCCCTGAGATATTGGAACACTGCTATCATGTCCCCTCTCGCCCTTCTCTTCATTAAACTAGACATACCCAATTCCAGCAACTGTTCCTTATATGTTTTAGCCTCCAGTCCCCTAATCATCTTTCTTGCTCTTCTCTGTACTCTTTCTAGAGTCTCAACATCTTTTTTACATCATGGTGACCAAAACTGGATGCAGTATTCCAAGTGTGGCCTTACCAAGGCATTGTAAAGTGGTATTAATACTTCACGTGATCTTGATTCTATCCCTCTGTTAATGTAGCCTAGCACTGTGTTGGCTTTTTTGGCAGCTGCAGCACACTGCTGGCTCATATTTAAATGATTGTCCACTAGGACTCAGAGATCCCTCTCACAGTTACTAGTACTATTATATATTACAATGAAAGAAAATAATTGATATGATATCTGTGGAACCGCCTATCCCCAATATGATAGGGGAATTCGATCAGCAAAGGAATTTCAAATGGGGGACTCAGAAGTAGATCCTTTTCTGCCATAGTTGTCACCCTTTAGAACATCCCTCCCCTATGTTGTAGCCTTAGGAAAAGTCTTAAAATCTGGCATAGGGTCCTGAAGGAAAAACTGTTGACTGGAGGTGGTTGATGCACTAACAAGTACCTCCCCCTCCAACCAATTGTGTTTAGCTTGTTTTCATTTTTGTAGTTTTTATCTCTTTTATTTTTAAGTGTCAGATGTTTGTGTTTTTTATCTTGTTATAAGTCACTCAGAATTGCCTTGAACCATGAAATGGATGGCAAATATATTAGATAGATAGATAGATAGATAGATAGATAGATAGATAGATAGATAGATAGATAGATAGATAGATAGATAGATAGATAGATGATAGATAGATAGATAGATAGATAGATAGGTAGGTAGGTAGATAGATAGATCTAAAAATCTAAGTTATAAATTTCTACAGATATAAATTTTAACTGAATTGTTCATGGTGACTTACCATAATTCATCATTATGATGACAGTAATTATTCTGAAAAAAGCCAAGTAGTTGAGGTTTTGCTTTCTATATTTTATATTTCATAACTGTGGGTCTATCATACCTCTTTTCCTCAAATTTTAATATATAAATTATAAAATGAATGAGCATAGTGATTTTGTTAATTTTATTTGAATGTGTTCAACGGATATTTCAGTAACAAATATACAAAAAGTTCTTTTGGGATCAACATTTACAATTAAATTTCAACTACATAAAATTTATGATGGTAAATGCTCCACAAGCTCAATATTTTAAACATCTCACCTTAAAGATCTGGAAAATTTTCAACCTTCATCACTTTCATATGCTTCCATCAACAATCCTTAAAGTAGATATGAAATCGATATGAGATATCCCAGAGTTAAAAAATCATCAAATCACAGCAATAGCATCCCATCACTGGTGTTTGCAAAAAGCCAAACCACATCAACCAATACCAAAACTATTACTCAAACTATTTGGAAAGAATCATGGTTAGAATTATTAGTCATGAGGCTAGAATATATATCAAGGTAAGATATGAGAATAAAACTTAAAGAAATTTTCAGGAAAAAAAAAACTATTGCTCCAAGACAACTTCACAATAACCTTTAAATACTCTGTACAAACAAAGACTCAGAAAAATCTTTCAAAATTAAAAAACTGGTCTGGTCATAATGAATCAATTATGGTATAAGAACACTTCAACAAAATGCTGCCTCAAACATTCAAGGAAGAGCAAGCTGCCATTTATGGATCTCTATATCACTCTAAAATAAAGATTGCATAGGAAAAATGTGGGCATTAACTATGGTAAAAAAACAAACTAGCATAAAATGAGAAGTTGGCAATGTCAGCATGAAGAGCATTAAAAAAAAAGAGTCCCTACTGATTTTATTTGCTAATCATTGTGACTACAGAGGGCAGTGCTCATCCCCATTTCAAGTTATTGAACCAGACATTTCCATAGTCCTGTGTCACTTTATTTTCCCACTGAAGTGGTACCCATTTATCTAATTGCATTTGCATGCTTTTTAAATGCTATGTTGGCATGAGCTGGGATAAGGATGGAACCTCACCCTGTCAGATCTCAAACTGGGCTGTGGGCTTTCCAGCTGACAAGCCCAGTATCTTAACCGCTGAGCCACCACACAGCCCATCAAGAGCAGTGAAAGCATTTAAATCACAGCCTGTGGTGCCCAGTAATTGCCAAATAACTCTCTGAGAATACAGAATAACAGAGTTGAAAGGGATGCTGGAGGTCTTCTAGTCCAACACCCTGCTCAAGCATGAGACCCTGTACTATTCCAGACAAATGGCTGTCCAATCGCTTCTTAAAAACCTCCAGTGACGGAGCACCCACAACATCTGGAGGCAAGCCATTCCACTGCTTAATTGTTCTCAGTGTAAGGAAATTTCTCCTTAATTCTAGGTTGAATCTCTCTTTTATAATCTTCCATCTGTTATTCTTGTCCTATCCTCAGATGCTTTGGAGAATATAAAAATTTAACCAATGGAACTAATTTAGAGAGGTCAAAAGAACAAAACAAAAAGAAATGCCATTTTTTTTCTACTCATCTCATGGTGCTAATTGTTTATTGTGAAATCAGTGAACGTTTGTACATTGTATGTAATCATTGTGTAGATTACGAAATCATTTTTTAATATCATGGCCAGTGTGACAACTTCATTACTATCTTATTAGAGTTCACATTTAAAAACAGCCAAAAAGTAGAATTTAGTAGATCCTATTGTAAGAATTTTATGCAGGAAGTCTGATGCCAATTTCTGTAAAGAAGTGAACAAGTCTCAATATAACCTGAACCCAGTATTTAATAATTTGCTCATTGAATGCATATTATTTTTTTCAAATTAATAGCACTTTCCAGAATCTTCAAGCTTACTACACTTTAGATTCAAATTGTTCTTTTTTTGCTTCTGCATTTCGTCTCAGTCTGTTTCAGTACGCAGTGAAGAGTTGCTATCCTATTGGCAGCAAGAAAATTAAAAATCAAAAAGCTATTGTGTGACATCCTGACAAAGGATTGATCATGTGGCCCAACTACAGGTTAATAGTAGTCATTGTAGGACCAAACTTGGGACTGGAACGTCCACTGCTAAGTGAGTTACTCCTGATTTTATGACCCTTTTTGCCATGGTTACTCTGTGAACCACACAGTCATTAAGCAGGTTCCCACATTGCCTTTGTCTGTTGGAATCTGGCTAGGTGATCACCAGTGGAGGTCATGTGATTGCAGGACCCTGAAATTATTATAAATACAAACCGGTATCCAAGTGTCTAAATTTTGATCACATGATCCTGAGAATGCTGTGACACTGGAAGTGAAAGGGCTGGGTATAAGTCGGTTTTGCCAGCATTGTCATAACTTCAAACAGTCATTAAAACAAGCAGTTGTAGGTCAAGGACTACCTGCAGTGCTTATTACAGTTTTCTCATTGTAATAGAGGAGGTATACTGCTGAAGTTTTGTACATTGTATGTGATAGGTTAAAAGTTATGTTTATGTAACTGAAAATGGTTAATGAAGCAACTTCGTTAAGCAGTTCCTCTTTAAAAATAGCTGCCAAGTGATAACAGTAACAGTAACAGTTATGTATTTTTGAGAAGGCTGGAAATCTGATGCATCTTTCCATAGACAATACTGTGGTAGTAGGCCAGTGTCTACATAAGCAGAAGACAAAATTTAAACAATTTTATAGAAAGCAATTATGCTTGGAAGAGTTAGTGTTAAAAGGAAACAAGGCCACCAAAGAACATGGTGGCTGGACACCATCATAACTGACACCAGCCAGAGCATAGAACAACTCAACAAAGTAGTGCAAGATCAGAAGATGTGGAGAGACATGGCCCAAGAGTCAGACACAACTGAAAGGATATCATCATCATCATCATCATCATCATCATCATCATCATCATCATCATCATCATGCATATTCACATCACTGTAATTCCTTTGTTGGTGGTTATGAGCCGTTGAGATGGGCAGCATACAAATTTAAAAACATTATTAATTATACCCTAAAGCAGACTAATATGATACCTCAGACCTGTTGTTTGTTTGTTTCTGCTTCAGTCCCAACCTGTTTCTATATGCACTGGGAGCTGCCGTCCTGGTACCAGCAAGAAAATCAAGGAAGGGGAGCCCTTTTGTTGCTATGACTGCATTCCATGCCCAGATGGGAAGATTTCAGAGAAGGAGGGTAAGAGATGTTATATTGGCATTTATCTCACACAATGGTAGCAGTTTCCAAATGCAACCTTGCATACCAGAAGGCTTTTTTCCCCAGGTATTTTGTCTTATATTTTGAATGGGATTGAGATTCTGTAGAACAGGTAGTCTTCAAGATACAAACATAATTCAGCCTGCCCATTATGGTTTTAACATTAATTGAAGCAAGTTCAATGAATGAGCCCCATCCCTCCTGTCCCCAATGCATTTGTTATTCGAATGTGGGTGTCATTAAGTGCACTAGAGGTACCTCAGGAGTCTTAGTGCAGGAAAAGACTACCTGTCTTTGGCCAGCCAAGGTCTCCCCGCATCTACTGAAATATTTCAGGCTCCCCTTCCATCCCTTAAGATCCCCAAAGCTAGAGCCTTCTCCATACCAAGTGCCTATCACCAATCGTGGTCTTTTCATACTCTGGTGAAACTGTTTTCGTTAGATCCTTATCTTCTTAAGCATGTTTCTGNGGGACACAAAAAGCCTTTCCAAGAGCATGGAAGCCTGTAGGAGTGCAATCATGCAGGTGATTTCTCAGGCAAAATACTTTTTCCCACTGACAATGGGGGCCTGCAGAGGTGCGAGATCACCCTTTGCCTTGAGGGGTGCTTCTGTCCCCTTTCCAAAATGCTTTTTCCATGGATGATGGGGCTTGCAGGGACATGAAAAGCCTTTTCTAAAGAGTATGGAAGCCTGCAGAGGCGTGATCTTGCGCTTCTGCCAGTTTCTGTGCTCTTTGGAAAAGGCTTTTCACATCCCTGCAGCCCCCTTCTTCCATAGGAAAAAGGTTTGTAAAGGAGACAAAAGCGTTCAGGGGTGCAATCTCGCACCTCTGCAGGCCCCGCTGTCCAGCTAAAAGCAATCTTGCACCCCTGCAGGCTTCTCTTTGGAAAAGTCTTTTCGCATCCCTGCAGGCCCCTGTCATCCACAGGAAAAGCATTTTGCAACTAGGACAGACGCTTTCAGGGGCATGATCTCGCACTTCTTCAGGCTACCATCCTCCATGGGAAAAGCCTTTTGTGAAGGGGACAGAATCCTGCAGGGGCCTGAACATGTGTAGGAACACAGGATCTAACAATAACACCTTCACCAGAGTCTGAGAAGATAGCCACTTTTCTGCAAAGTGGCCTGAGTTCTGCAGATTTTCCAAAGGTAAGTGAGGTGATGGAATGGGGAGGAGCAGGTGGGCTAGCAAAGCTGACCCAGTGCCTTTGCACACACTGTGTGTGGGGAAACAGGCAGGGGGCATGTTGGAGCATCTCTGCAGTCGGTTGTAAGGGCTAATAACTGTCATGGTGCTGAACGTTCATAACTTTTGTACTGGGTTGTAAATACTTTTGGAGGGATGTCATAATTTTGAACCATTGCTAAGTGAACTGTCATAACTCGAGGATTACCTTTACTAGGATTGCAGAAGACAAATCAGGGGAGCATTATTATCCTATCTTGTTGAAATGTATAGATTATATGGAGAACTATATAATTATAGACAGAATTGGTATTCTAAAGTCTTTTCACAAGTTACGAAATCAAATTCAATATCACCACCATTAAACTGATTGTTTAAAGGATTAGAGCAGACATGTCAAACTCGCGACATCACGTAACGTCATGCAACGTATGGGGAAGGTTTTCCCATTGCCAGCAATGGGGTGGGCACGACTTCTAGATGGCACATCCGGCCTGTGGGCCGGCAGTTTTACACCCCTGGATTAGAGCATTGTTGAAATCTACAGACTAATACTTGTTTAATGAATTGGGCATAAAATGTTCTAAATATTTTTAAAATATGTAAATAATATTATTGATATACTTTATATTCTACAGATGGTCTTGAAATGATTTTATTTTTCAGATACAAATGATTGTTACTTGTGTCCAGAAGAAAGCTATCCAAACAAGAATCAGGATTCCTGTATTCCTAAAACATTGACATTTTTGTCTTACAAGGAACATTTGGGAATCAGTTTAGTCTTCTTTGTTTTTTTGTTGTCTTTGCTCTCAGTGGTGGTGCTTGCAATATTTTTGAAGAACTACAACACTCCTATCATCATTGCCAATAACCGAGACCTCACTTACAGTCTCCTCATCTCCCTCCTGCTCTGCTTCCTTTCTGCATTCCTATTCATTGGTCATCCTGAGAAGATGGTATGTCTCCTGCAGCAAACAACTTTTGGGGTTGTCTTTGCAGTGGCTGTTTCTTCAGTTTTGGCAAAAACCATCACAGTGGTTCTGGCTTTCCTGGCCACCAAGCCAGGATCCAAGATGCGAATGTTTGTGGGAAAGAGACTGTCCAACTCCATTGTCATTTCCTGTTCTCTTATTCAAATAGGTATTTGCATGACATGGCTAACAACTTCTCCCCCATTCCCAGACACTGACATGGATTCGGTAATTGAAGAAATTATTCTGCAGTGCAATCAAGGCTCTGTGACTATGTTCTACAGTGTCCTAAGCTATTTGGGTTTCTTGGCTGTTATTAGTTTCATAGTTGCCTTCATGGCCAGGAAATTACCTGATACTTTCAATGAAGCCAAGTTCATCACTTTCAGCATGTTGGTCTTCTGCAGTGTTTGGATATCGTTTGTTCCAACCTACCTGAGCACCAAGGGGAAGTACATGGTGGCGGTGGAGATATTTTCCATCTTGGCCTCTAGTGCTGGTTTACTGGGCTGCATCTTTCTTCCTAAATGTTATGTAATTATTTTGAGGCCTGACTTGAATACCAAAGAACACCTAATGACAAGGAAAAAATGATTATTTTATATTTTACTAGGTAGAATTTTTTATATAAATCTGTTCACAAGAAATTGTTTAGAAAACTTAAAATGCACAGACAAAGCTCCTCTTTTGAAATTGTAAAAGCAGCTGCTTTTTTATCAAGATTATGTCTGCTCTACAGAATGCCACCGACCTGTTCATTTTATACATCTGTGCATTACCCTAGTCTTAACTTTGGATACAGAATGTGGAGTAATGTGTAACTCCACAAACATAAATAGGCTGCACTTAACAGCTTCTGAAATTACCCTATTCATCGTGAAAAATATAAAGATGTTTATCAAGAGCACTTAGATGTATATACTGCTCCATAGTGCTTCACAGTGCTTCACAGCACTCTCTAAGTAGTTTACAATGTCAGCATATTGCCCATAACAATCTGGGTCCTCATTTTACTGACTTTGGAATGATGGAAGGCTGAGTCAATCTTGGGCTGGTCAGCAACAAACTCGTGGCTATGGTCAGAATTAGCCTGTAATACTGCATTCTAACCATGACCTATCATGGTTAATCACAACTAAGGTCATCTAGAAAAAAACTCTTGTCCCAAAGTTTTACCTGCAGTTTTTAATATGAGAATATCTAATACAGTGTTTCAATAAATAATACTACATGTAGTTCAGGATTGAACTGTGGAATCCTTTATTTATTTATTTATTTATTATTTGGATTTATATCCCGCCCTTCTCCTCGTAGGACTCAGGGCGGCTGACAATCAATTAAAATACATAAATAACAATACAAATTTAAAATTAATTAAAAGAGATATTTAAATATTGTCAAATTTAAAATATAATTAAAACCCCTCTAAAAATTACCCTAGGCCAGTCCTGCAAG